TGATATATGACGTTAAGGCTAGAGGCGTAGCGATGGGTTAGCAGGGCTCGCAGCCGCGGGAAGCCCCAGACTTATTAGGGGCCCAAGCCAAATTTTTCAAATATATTTAATCACATTTTTTTTTTTATTCATATATTTGTCGTACATATAACATTTACAAGTTTCGTAAATTAAAAGTAACATTTACAAGTCTCGTGAGTCAAAATATATAGTGAAATTTATAATTAAATAGTACAGGCCGGACTTCAAGAAGATCGTAATGATCTTATCACGAAGCCCTTACAATGTGTTTGATATATTATTATGATTATGTTAAATATAATTATATATTAAGTACAACTATGTTTATATATTCTTTAAATTTAGCTCATAATAAAAAATAAACTCAAAATAAGCTCAGTATAAAATATTAGACATAACTAGCAGCATAATAACTAAACTTGATAAGAAAAAATTAAGTGTTTTTTTTGTGTGTAATAAACAATTTTTGATATATTGTTTGAGAATGCTAAGAATCATTTAGATAATACACATAAACGAGTCAGTTCACTTTGTAATTGATATATATGTATTTTAATTTATAGTTTTAGAAGAATTCAGTTTAATTTATAGTTTTAGAAGTTTAGATTCAGTATCAGATTTTTTAACTTTTTTTTCAAGAAATTTTGATTGCAAATTGAATCTAGATTGAAAATTGATTTATTTTTAGTTACTAGTTTGTTGTATAAATAAGGACCCCGATATGAAATTGAGAACTGGGAAAGTTTTATTTTTTTAAAAGGTGTAATAAAGTTTCCTTTTTCTCTTGTGTTATATTTATTAACGTTATTTATAAAAAAGTTATTTAAAAAATGGTTTGGTACTTGACCTAATTTAAATTTTAGCATAAACAATATATTTTGGTAAACATTAACTTGATAAATATTAAGCACATTCATTTCTTTAAATAAGGGTTCAGTGTGTGTAAATTTGTCTTTATGGTAGATTAGTCTAACAGCATGTTTCTGACGTCGATATAAAGTTTTCAATTTGGTTATATGCGTACTTGCCCAAGCTATATTCGCATATATGAGGTAGCTATGTATAAAAGAGAAATATATAAGTTTTAAATTACTTTGCGACAGCATAGATTTTGCTTTATAAAGTAGACCTATGTTTTTTGATATTTTAGTGTTTAAAGCATTTATGTGAGTTTTCCAAGATAAATTTTCATCAATTATAACTCCTAAAAATTTAGTCTCGTGAGTTCTCTCATTTACTATATTTTCTATTTTTAGAGAGGGTAGAATATTTGGTAGTGTGTTTCTTTGTTGGTTTGAGTGAAATAAAGTGTATTTTGTTTTTTCTATGTTTAGGGATAACTTATTTGTTTTAAACCATATATTTAATTTTTGGAGTTCTATGTTTACATTATCATACAGATCCTTGATGTTTGTCGAAGAGTAAAATAAATTTGTATCGTCTGCAAACATTATAAATTCAAGTTTGCTAGAAACTTTTGGAAGGTCGTTTATATAGATTACGAACAAAAGAGGAGCAAGAATCGAACCTTGAGGAACACCACAAATTCTATTATCGTATAGCTAAGAATTACAAACTCTTAGCTATTCAATGTGTAACATACTTGTTTCCATTAAATTAAATCAAAATTGTGTTAAGGTGGTACACCACTAAAAAGCACTTTTTCAATTTAAAATAGGAATAAAACCAAAAACTAATATTTTTCTGATTATAAATTTATAAAAAAAAATTTGAAATGAAATTTTTTTCTAAAAGTTTTTTTTACATCCATAATGGCGGAAAAACTGCTTTAAAAATGCATAAAATTCAATAACTTTGTGACGTGATATCTTCCGTTATATACATTTTCTCTAGTTCAAACTTAGTATATTGTTGCATTATAATGTTTTATTCCGGTTGACAGATAGATTTTTAATTTAAGGACATATTTTAAGTTTTATTACGAATTATTAAAAATATGCTTGAAATTCTAAGTAACTTGACTTAACATGTGAACTAATTTCTTTATTTAAAAATATTTAAGAAGAATTTTTTAAATCCCAATAAAACCGAATTTCTTAAGTATATTGAGTATACCCTGAAAATTTCAGGCAAAAATCATTACCCAATACAAAGATATTATGTTTCAAAGTTACCCTAGTATTACAAAAATGAAAAACTGTAAAAAACACATTTAAAGTTTTTTTCAGTAAAATCTTGGTTAATGTCCACCAGAAACATATGACTGATTAGTTTCATTTCAATTTTGTTTATCACTGAACCCTTTGGTTATTAATCTTAACTTTTTTCTTTGCTTTATACACATGGTATTGTGTCGATTTTCGCTTTATTTGATTCACACGAGAATTGTCAAACTGAATAGATGTCATTACTGTTATATACCCAGTCAAATTGAACTCTTTTAAAACATCCAAAATACCCTCACTACTATCATTAAAATAAATTACAGCAGAGTAAGTTCCCATTTCAACTATTTCTCTACTGACAAAAGTGTTTTTTGGAACTCTAGACCATATGAGGACCCTGAAGGACTCATTAGGATTTTGTGTCTTACCATGAAGGCATTTAGATAGCAGTTGATTGCCTTGTAAGCTTTTAAAAATTGGTATTAGCAGATTTTTCATCCAGACTGGAATTGAATTTGATGGTATATACTGCTTTGTTTTACTCCAATACCTGCACCACGCTAGAACAAGAGGGTTAAATAAAATTTTAGGTCTTACAAGATACTCTATTTGGTATAACACAGTTCCATTTTCTATGCTTTTTTCTAGAAAGGTTTTTTTTGTTGCAAACTTTATATTTTTGATGTAGGTTTCTTTTCCTCCTGAACTCATTTTTATATACACTAAATATAAAGCTAAAGTTATTAAATCATATTAACAAATATATCTCAGACAAAGTAAATATCAAAGTAAATTGATATTACAATGTAAAAGTTACAACAACAACTATTTAAATTGTCACAAAACAAATGTACCTTTAAAGTATAGTTCAAAACTTTACGAATATAAAAAAGAAGCCTAGCATAGTCTAAGCATATTCCATAAAAAAGAAGCCTAGCATAACCAAGCTTGAGCATAGATTTTAAGGGTTTTTTATTCTGTTGCTAAGGCGTTGCTATGGTCAAAATTTTCAATAACTTTAGAAAAATGCATTTTTAAAGTGTTTTATGTAATTAAACAATATAAGATGGTTATATCAAATGAAAAAGGATAAAATTTGGAAAAAACGAGTCCAAAAACCTAATTTTGAAAATTTACTCCAAAATCACTGTTTTTTTAGTGGTGTACCACCTTAAAAATAAGGCTTTTGTTTTCATGTATAATTTTTTTTTGTTTTGAGGGGGAGGGGGAGGAGAGAGAAGTAATTTAGGGGCCCGGATTAAAATTTTGCGGGGAGGCCTATTTTTTGTCGCTACGCTACTGGTTAAGGCCCATTGTTTTCAGATTACTAAAACTCGTAATTTAACTCTATTCGTCAGGTTCTAGAAACCTTTGAAAAAATTTTTAACAATGACGCTAACAAAGGCAAGTTAAACATTCCATATTTTATACATGGGTTTGACTTTATTAGCTTTTAAAGCTTATAAATTTTCTCCCAAGGATAAAATAGAACTACTGAAAAAGAATTTTTCTACAATTTATTTCTAAAAATCTAATGCTTAGTTCCTCTAAATTGACATAAAGAGTGCTTTTTGCCATTCCAGTTAAACAGGTAAACCCATTGTTAGAAATTCAAACTCCTACTTTATCCAAATCATCTACACACCAATCCAAGCTTCCGTTTTTAAAATTTTCTACAGCTTATAATCCAAACAAATTTTTGTGCAGTTTTTGTCTGACAAAAGTGTTTTCCATACTTCCTAATAACTCTCTAATATTATTAAACAGGTGTTCCCCAGAACCTTTTTTTCTACACTATTTAAGAAGCGTTTAACTAAACTTTTGTTTTCTGACTGCTAAAAAACAGCATCTGAAGTATAGTAAACTACAGATTTTGCCCAACATGTCTTCTTACTATTAGTAGCCAAGTTTCTAAAATTTTAATTAACTTTCTAATATCTGATCATGATTCTAACAACTTACTCTGGCATTCAATAAGTATTTCGATTCCTCGTTCTACTGATGAGTTGTTAATTGAATGGTTCTAACGTGCATTAGATGTAAGCGGTGACACAAGAGCTATTGCTCTTAACTTTTTAATAAAGTCTGGCATGCTGGTCCATTCCATAAACTCGCTTCATTTAATATAAATTTTTAAACCTTACTACAAGACGTACTTTATTAATTTAAGTCAAGTTATACTAACGCAAAGTAATTAATATAGAGTTTTACCATTTTTAGACAAGTTCTGGGGCAATGAATTTGGGTATTGAAAAATCCGGCTCTAAGTAGACAACCCTCCCCTACTTTTCTTACTTCTAACTTAGTGTTTGCTTTCTGAAAGTAAATTTGTTTAAAATTAATAATTTAAAAAATAATAATATTTTTGTAATTCCGTCTAAAGAGGCCATCCATAAAGGACGTCACCATTTTTCAGCCAATTTTTGACCCCCTCCCCCCCCCCCCCTTTTGTCACCGGTTGTCCTTTTTCCCTATACCCCCTGGAAAAGAACGTCATAAAATCCTGACCCCTCTCCCTATTTTTAACTCCAAAAAAATTTATTTCATCTTGAAATGATGTTTGAATCTGCTGCTACACCTTTGAAAAATAAAATTAAAAATATTCTCATACATTATCTTCTCAAAAACACACGTTTACGTAATTTTGCATGTTAATTAAAATAAAATAAAAAATCTATAAAGTGACGTCCTTTTCTGACCACCTCCCCTTCCCCTTGTCCTTTTTAACTCGACCCCCCCCCCCCCTATTTGGATGACGTCCTTTATAGATGGCCCCAAAACAAATAAAGATAATTTTTCTTTTTTTACCACGCTCAATATTTTTGTCCATAACGCATTTAAAGTACTAATTGATTGCATTAATTTTTGACATACTCAATATAGATTCTAGGCAATTAAATGCAAACAGTTTTTTACAAACAAAAAAAAAACGACAAAAAAAAATGTCAAGAAGACAGTTCGTTTTCTGAATCGTTTATTAAAACTAAACAATTGCTACTTTCTGTCTCGGTTATTTTTGATTTCTTCGAAGATTTTTCGGGTTTTGCAATCGACTTTCTCTTACTCGTGTACGCTAACTTCTAATCAATCAACGTAATAAATTAATAGATAACATAAATAAACTTTACGCATACTTTAAAAATCAAGAAAAGAAATAAAGTTAAATTTAATTATCTTACATCTGATTGAATATCATTAGACATCAGAATGTCGTGATGAATTGAAATTATATTTTGTATAAGATGTTCGGAATGTTGGCCAGGCACTAGGTATGTTATAGTGCTGTAAGGTGTAAAATGAAATTCCTCGCGTACAACACGTTCGAGTAGAAGTTTCGATAAAACAAACTCACATTCTTCACGCGAAAGTGTACAAACTGAAATCGGCCTTAAAGAACTTTTCCCCTTTCCGAGCCAGATATCAATGAGCTAAACAAGATTGATTAAATTATACCAGATGCGTAATTTATACCAGATCCATAAATTATACCAGATACTTAGTTATAAAATAAATTCTATCGGAGACTTTACTATCAGAAAATTACAACAAAAACTGCAAAAGTCTAAAAAATATAGAAACAAAAAGCAAATTATATATAAAAAAAATTACTTTAAGCGGAGTAAGCTTTTCATCCACCGCAGTCGCAGATTTAAGGATGGAAACCACTGTAAGACCGTATTGCCTGATGTCACGTGTTTCAAGCCCTAAATATATTTAAAAATTTATATGTTAATTATATAAAATATTAATTTTAATTGAAATTATTGCAAATTTAATATTTAAAAACATATATTATATAGAATTATTGAATAATTTGAAGATAGCTACAAAATGCGCAAACTTACCCAAAAAAATAAAAAAATATGAATAATTTGATAAAAGTATATTTAAAAGGAAGCACTGCAGAGGCCATTTTAGAATTTTAACGTATTTTAATCTCATAATAATAGAAAATATTTCAAATATGCACAATATGGTAAAAATAGCAGTTCAAAAGATTTGTTGGGTTTTACATTGGCTGTCATCTGATCAAAAATATTTTCAAATAATTTTAAGCTTGTTAGGATCGTTTTAACCAAAATAAAATTTTAAGAATGATTTCATCACTGTTGATGAAACAATCACCCCTAAGCACAAGAAGAAAAACAATTAAAACGATGAGTTTCATATTACTTATGTTACGATATATATAATTTACATTATATTATATGTAACTATTTCATATATAGTACAATTACAACAACTGACAACAAAACTTATTGAGCTTTAGATGTTTTTAGGAGAACAAATAACTTTTTTTATTAACAGACTTCAGTTGCCTTTTTTAATGACAAAAAAACAGTTATTTTTTCAAGATGTGATATATTTGTGACATATAGATTATGTATGCAGTATTTTATCATGTGCCCTGGGTATGATACGTTTTATGACGTTACAAGTTACAACTTGGTCAATGGACATATTTTGTTATGGGTGGCGGGTGGAAAAGGAAAATATCTTTATCTTAAAAATAAAATTTTAAATAAAAAAAATAAATAAATATACTTGATTTTTCAATAAAACAGTTATCACACATTTTACATGAATCACTTGTTTTCCAAGCCTCTTCAAAGTCTAAACTTATAATGTTACGCCGACACTGTTTTTTTTCAATGCAGTACCTTAACATTTGATACACCTTTTCTAATCCTGTTTTCTCTATAAAAAAAGAGATACAATGCTATTAAACGTTTTTTTCAAATCTATATTCATAAACAAAATTATTTATTTATCAATTATTATTAAATATAACATTATTATTCAATACATATAGTAAACTAGTTTTCTTAACAACAGCAGGTTTAACAATATTTTAACATTTTAAATTATTTTTTAGAGTTAGACGTATCAAATTATCAATATCAATTTAAAAAAATAATGCTAAAGGGTTTGTACCAGAAAAAACCATTGACATTTGCCGGAAAATATCTTGAAATCTGAAATAAAGAATGCAGTATGCATTATGACCATCTCTCCCTGCTCTTCCACTCTCCTGGTAGTAATTTTCAATAGATTTACTCAATGAATAATGAATCACAAATCGAACATTTGGTTTATCGATTCCCATTCCAAAAGCAATTGTTGCTACTATAACCTGTCAACAAATAAGTTAAATATTATCATATGTCAAAAAAAAATCAAATATTATTATATCTAATATATTACATAAAATATTATTATAATATATAATTTTTATCAAGGTACCATCACATTTTTTTTAAAAAGAGTTTTTAAATATTTCAATTTTTGGTGGCAAGGGTTTTAATTCTTCTTAAAAATGTTTTTGAGGAAATTTATAAAAGTTATCAAAGTGATATAGAAAAATGTAAAACCTTTCTATGAAATTTTCATTTAATTTTTTTATTCATAGAAAATTTATATTGCAATAATAATATTAAATTTAGAGATAGATCTAATTTTATTATATATACTTTTTATGTTTGAAACAAAGGTGATTTAAGCGCAAAATGGAGTAGCATAGCAACAATATGTTACTATGCTACTAATTTCATGCAGTCCTAGTGTGTTATTTTTACATAAAATACAAAGTTTTTAAGCAAAATATATACGATGAATATAATATACACAACATGAATAGAAGGTAAATAAAATAAAAATTTTTTAATAAAATGATAAAATATATAATTTAATTTTATTTGGTGTACTTTTGTTAATATTAATAATAAAAATTATAACTTAATTCTTTCGCACAAAATTGATTGCACCCAATCAAATTGCATTTTTAAGTAACATAATTTGAATGACATAATATGAAAACACCACGGAATAAAAAAAACTATTATTATAGCAAAAGTTATTATATCTGGTTTCATTAAAAAATGGTTATATCTGGTTTCATTAAAAAATGAAACCAGATATAACATTTGAGAACTTTTACAGATAACAGCGCTCGAAATAGTTTTTCAAAGCTTGCCAATCAAATGTAATTTTTTTACAAAAACAGGTTATTTTCCCTTGAATTTTTCGAAATTTTCTTAAAAATAGCCGATCATTGATCATTGATCAGCTGCTATTTCGAGCGCTGAGATAATATATTATAATTTATTTAAAACCAACCAACTTGGTCAGAGGTAGATCCAGCCTTAAATTACAAAGTAAATAAGGCTTACAAAATTAAAAACACAAAGAACTGTTCTCATTATCTACATTATAAACCATTCTTATTTACAACTTTTCAATTACATTTTACACTTTCTTATTTTACAACTTTCATTTTTTCAATTAAATCTTGATTACAATTTTTATAACATTTTTTAAACATAATTTTCATGTTCTCAATTAGAAAACGTTCTTATGTTTTTGATATCTTTTTTTTTTCTTTGTTTCTTAATTATATGTTTTGTGTTCCCAACAATTTCTTGAAAAGGTAAAATAATAGACAAAATAGTATACTATAAAATAATAGACAAAATAATATACTATAATTGTTCAATAAAGTAAAAAAGTTATGAAAACTTACTTAAACTCATGTCCAAGAAGACCTTTTATAATAAACTATAAGCTTACATTGCGTATTCACAACTACAATTTATGTATTCTTAATTACATATTACAATTTCTAAATTACATGTGTTTCTCAATTACATGTGACGTTTTCTTAATTACAAATTTCTCAATTACAAAAGTGTAGTATTATACCTGAATATCTCCCTTAAACATTTATACCTGAATATCTCCCTTAATCCACAGTTGATGAACTTTAGTTTTGACATCTGAAGAAATGTCTGCATGATAGCAATGTGAATTTATACCATGTCTGTTGAGTAATGTTGAAACTTCTTCAGAATCTTTCCGTGAAAAGCAGTAAACAATACCTTTGTTAATAATAATATAATATATTATAATGTAATACAAAACAAAATGTAAAAAGTACAAAAGTATTCAAAAAACTTTGTCTCAGGAAAAAGATAATCTAGAGAAAACAAGTAAAACCTGATTCCTCCTTAAACCGTGATTTTATACAAGTTGCAATTTCATTGACAAGTTCAGATGGAGAAAGTAAAGTATGTTTGACCTAAATACACATCTAGAATAGTCTGAACATTTCCATTTGATTTGGTTCACAAATCGAACACATTAAATCAGCACAATAAATAATGATAAAAAACAAAACAAATAAAACAGATATTTATGTTCAAATACAATTTCATATAAACATAAGTAATAAACAAAAGCACAACTTAATTATACAACTAGATAAATATTAACATCTTCAGTTTTAAATTAACTTAAAAAAATGAATAAAAAATAAAAATAACCTCATAAAAAAGATTTGGTCTGTTAAATGACCCTCGAAACAATAGACAGTCACTCTTCAGATTCAAAATGTCTTTGATATCGTCCAATACCTTTTTAGAAGCTGTAGCGGTTAGTCCAAGTATTGGAAGTAACGGAAACTGCCTTTTTAAAATGCCTAAGTATTTGTAATCTGGACGAAAATCATGTCCCCAATGACTTGCACAATGCACTTCATCAATTACAATTCTATTAATTGAACCCACTAAAATTAATTAGTTAAATTTTAACCAAAAAGGATTACAAATAGTAAACTAATATCAAATACTTGACAGATTAACTACCGTGCAAGTCTTTTAACAGATTAAAGCCAAAAAATCAAAAGTAATGTCAAGGAGAAGCCTTGGACCTAACTCATATTAAACAATATATAATAGTTAAACAATGTTTAACTATTATATATTGTATATATTTAAATATAATCTGTATTTTAGATGTATACGATATCAGAAAATAATTTAATTGGACAAATTGATCGCCCTTCCAATATTTTAAAGTCAAGAAATCGTATATATGGAAATTTGATTGAGAAGTCACTGATGGATTTTTCAAAATTATGTAAGATAAAGCAGATATTAGGAAAAATATCATTATTTATATCTTATAGAATTAGGTAACATTCCAAGATCAAGTGATGTTATTAAAAAAATCTCAATTGAAGTTTGTCAATTATGGAATAAAATGACGATACCATGAAAAGTGAAGCCTGCTATTCAAAATTATTAATTTGTTATCAAATCTTCACAAAGTACAAATAAAAAGACAATTACTATAAATAGCTGGGATAAATTATTTGACTTATTACCCAAAAATGCTAAATTTAAAAATCTGGAAGACAAACTCTTTTATGAACTTTAGAAATCTTCCAATAGGTGCAAAGGTCAGTGCAGTATTGTTACAGAGCCTATTACAACACATCCACGAGACCTACCTCCTAAAAGAAAATAACTTGAAACAAATTATAGTCAATCTTTTGATGATAAAGAGAATTCAAGTAGTGGAAGTTCAGAAGATAATAGTACAAGTGATGATTACACAATCCCATTGAAACGAGCAAAGATCACCAGTAAAATGGTAGCTAAGATATCTGAAAATAAAGGGTATTCAGTAAGTTGTACAGCAAAGATTGCAGAAGCTGTACTCAATGCTGATGTTGGTGAGACATCGATTTGCAGATCAGCAGTTCAAAAAGCATCTACAACACTCATGTATGACTTAAGATTGATTTGGTCTTATATAGACTCTTCTGAAAAAATCTGGTGTTTACATTTTGATGGTAAGAGCATAGACAAACAACATTATTATAGCACTTGCATTTCGAGCAAGTCTAAATCTTTGGTAATATCTTTGAAAAAATTAGAGAAAGGCAACTTTTCCATTAATGATATGTTACGCAATATTATTTTGGAATTTAATTTATTAAATAAAATTTCCGTTGTAATATGTGACACCACTACAGTAAATACAGGTTCTAAAAATCGAGTAATTAAGCATTTGACAAAAATTATTCCAGGTTTAGTGTACCATCCTTGTCCACTTAATGTTTTCGACCTGATTCTTAAGCATTTTATGAACTCAAAGTTTGATTCTTTATCAACATCGCCTAATATTAATTACTGGTTCTGGAATAATAATGAGTTGATTAGTAACTACCATGATTTAATTGAAAAATACAAACTTAATGGGCCAGTTTTTAAAAGTAAAAAATATGGCTGGAATGATTATACGGAGCTGGATTTGTTATGTAAAGGATACAAGTCTTATGAGACACAATGAATTTACCTGCGATTCATTTTTCTAAGCCAGGGCTTATTTCAAATGCACAACGAAATTCAAGAGCTATCTATTGCTTGAAATATATGCTTTTGACTCACTGTTGTAGATCACTGGGCTAAGCCATGCTTCTCTTGCAGAAGAAATGTTGACGATATATCGAAGTTACTGTTTTTTTTTTGTTTTTTTTTATGGTGCCTCAAGAAGACCTAACGGTCTTGTCACAGAGCACCGCGGAAGTGTATTTAACCAGGAAGTACACGCCTCCTTCCTTACTGTGACGCGAAAATCATCATGGTAAGGAAGGAGGCATGAACTTCCTGGTTAAATGCACATCTGCGGTGCTCTGTGACAATACCGTTAGGTCTTCTTGGGGCACCTAAAAAAAATATAAAAAAACAATAAAAAAACAGTAAATGCCAATTTTAACTTCATTCAATTTTAACTGGTAATTGCCTGGAGTGTTTGGAAAGACACTGTAATATTTGGAACTATTGCCCATGAGACATTGATTCTTGCGAAAATTAAATTATTTCTTCAAAGAAATCAACTTAGAGGCCAATTTTCTGAGACACTGTAATAAACTTTAATCTGCCTATGTGTGTTGTTGTAATAAAACAATTTATTGTTTGAACTATATTTACTTCTATGATACAGTTTTCAAAGACTTATAACTAAAAATTTAGAACTCAACAAACATCTTTACCCCAAGTTACATAAATTTTGTAAGCACGGAGGTAGCCACAGTAGACAATTTGCAGGACCTGCGAATTTGGAGACGTTTTTCAAATTTAGAGGTCCTTTTCCAAATATAAGGATTTTTTTTAGTAATACATCTAATAATGGAAGGTTTTTAAGATTTTAACGCCTTAATGAAAAGTTGGAAGGAGGGGGCTCTGACCCTTTTGCCACAGCACTGTTTGTATGGTATTTTCATCCCTATGTAAATTTGTTACTTTGCTTTTTTGATTAATATTTTAGTTTATAAAAGTATTAAAACAAGACTTTTCAATCTGTCACAACATGATTTAATAACTTGATTTTTGACAAATTTTATCATTTTGAAAAAATGAGTTTGCGCAGAAGGTTTTTGAATCTGTTACGGATAAAAATATTTTTAAAATACTTTTTATAACATTTCTCCACCGGTTATAAGTTTTTAAGATTTTAGAACCCTTATGACAGGTTTTTTTTTTTTTTTTTTTTTTTTTTTTTGTTTATCAAAAAATAAAATAATTCAAGTTATAAAAACAAACATTGTCAAGTCAAAAAAACCACCTTTTCTTTTATTTGAAAATTTTTAACTTCCAAAATGTTGGCATCAACATCAACGTTAAACTTTCAATTATCATATAAAATTATTGAAAAAAATTATAAAATTGGCCTTCTAAGTTTAATCAAAATATTTTATTATCTCAATCATAATATGAGACTAGTAACTTTTTAAAATATTATTATCTCAATCATAATATGAGACTAGTAACTTTTTAAAATATTATTATCTCAATCATAATATGAGACTAGTAACTTTTTAAAATATTATAATAATCATTTTAATTGTAATATGAGGATAGTATTTTTCTTTTAATGTTGTAATTATCACCTTAATCGTCAAATGAGGATTAGGGTACAATACAATTTTTTACACTTACATTGAAAAAATGGAAAGTGTTTATAACCACTTTTCACAAGCCTAACTTTTTAACCTTTAGACTCCGCTCAATTTTTTAGGTTTGACCACTGAGCGCACAGTATTTTCAGCTAAAGTTGTAAGTATATCAAAAATAAAATTTTGTTATGTTATTGCAATGTCTGAACCTTGAAGTAAAGTTTTCTTGAAGTAAACTTTTTCTGAAAGGCAAATGAATTACATTAACTTATATAGATTGACACCACAACTTTCATAAAATTTATACAGTGTTGGTCTAAAAATCTTTTTTTTTTCAAGAAATATTTTACATAGCACTTTTTTTAATAAATATACATTTTTGAGAAAAAAAACAGGCAGAAATATTTATGTAGGTAATAAAATTAAATTTTTTAACACCCCATAATCATATTTAAAAAGAATAAATAAAACATATACTAATAGCACTTTTATTTCTTTCACATTTTGAAAAATTTGTAGTCCTAGTATTGGTAAAACTATGAGTAAATATTTAGGTAACCAACAAACTATCTAATGCAACCTTGCACAGAAAGAGAGTATGTAATATTGCATAGAAAGAGAGTATGCAATCTTACATAGAAAGAGAATATGCAATCTTGCATAGAAAGAGAGTAGGCAATCTTGCATTGAAAGAGAGGAAAAAGTAAGCTTGTATAGAAGCTAATTAAAATCAAAGACTTAAACAAGCAGAAAAGTTGAAACATTTTAGGAAGCCATTAGCCATGAATATTGGATGCCATCATTATGTTTTGGAAGTTGCTCCAAAAACTGCCTTAAAGTCTTTACAGCTGCATTTGGCAGGACATGTTTTTGAGAGGCTCTAGAAGAAATGGCCATACATCCACCCAACAAAGTACTCCCCAGCTAAAGAAAACATTTTTAATGAGGTTACAGAAACTCTTCAGAAAGAGATCTTCAACACCAGAGCCACAAGAAGCCTTGAGGGAGGATTACCTAGAACTATTATGGCTATGTATTGTTTTTCTCAGTGAAAGTAGTCTTAAAATGGATCAGCTCTGAGTTCCAAGAACAATGCGCCATGCTTGATGGATGCTAAAGGTCATCTATTCTCTCAATATGGTGCTATTTGAATGCCAGTTGGAATCGACTGTCAGAAAAAAGTGAGGTCTAAAAAAGCTAGCTCTATTCATTTCTTTTATTTATGGACATTTTTAAAAAGAGGCTCCATCAGTAACAATACTAATTGTATTGTTACTGATCCCCTGAGGCCACATCAGTAACGCTACAAATTGTATTGTACTGATGTGGCCTCAGGGGCTATTCTAGACCATTTTCAACAGCATTGACCATATTAAGACGCTGCCCAAATTAAAAATTAAAGACCTTTTTTATATTTTTTTTATGGCAAATGTTTTTTTCGCGAAAAAACGCCGATATTCAGCAATATTTTGGATAAATTTCTCTGGGACGGGGGGTACCGCCACCCAAATTTTTTTCTTAGAATAGCCCCTGGGCCTACACTGTATTTACTCAACATCTGTGGTTTATCTTAGAAAGTTACATGAGCCTAGCTTTTATTGATAATCGAGTACTTCTAGATGTCAAAGAGACCATGATAGCTGACCTTAAGCTTCCAACGACCCAGACAGCTATGAAGAGAATAAGCATGTGTTAAGCAGACTTTAACAATCTAGAAAAGTTTGTGACTTAAATTTTAAAGTGCTTAGTATCACCAAAAAAGAAAATATTTACTATAAGTAAATCTTGTGACATCACAAGATTTACTTATAGCCTTCAAAGGCAGTCATGATGGTGGTAGATGATCTTGTAAAAGAACTTATAATAAACCAATTAGGCAATTAGAATAAACTTTGCTTTTACTTTGTACATTGTACTTATGCCATACTTTTAAAATCATAGTTATAATTTAAATAAAAATTTTAAATATGAAAATATCAAATAAAAGTTTTAGAATGTATACTTAAAATTTGTTATTGACGCTTAAATATTGTCGTATTTTCAAATTTTACATAAACTCAATAACATCATATGAAAGCAAATAAGCCTTCTGGGGGGATAGAATATAATTGGGAATAGAATTTCCAAACTTCATTTTTTGGACAACCTTAATGAGGCTAGTAATTTTTTAAAATGATATAATTATTAAAATCATTAAAAGAAAAAAAAAAGAAAAAAAACCTGAGTAAGCCTTTTCTAGTTTTGCCATAAAGCGTTTACTTTTGGCCAATCTTTCTGGTGTAACATACAAAAGCTTCAACGACCCATTTTGTGTTATCATTTGATTTTGTATATTTGTAATATATGCTTTTGGAGATGATGCATCTAACATTGCAGCCTCTATTTTCAGTTCTCGTAGACCAATTAACTGGTCTTCCATTAATGACACCAAAGGAGAAACTACCTAGAAAAAAAGTATGTATCTATATATCAGGGGTTATTTTAGACCGTCTTTGACAGTGTCAACTGAATTTGGGCGCCGCCAAAATTAATAGATAAGGAACTTTTTTTATGTTTTATATGGCAAATTTGTTGTTTTGTTTTTTTGAGAAAAAATGCCTATATTCAATATTTTGTTTAAATTTCTTTGACGGTAGTACTGTAGTTCAAATTTTTTCCTAGAATATCCCCTGTATATATATATATATATATATATATATATATATATATATATATATATATATATATATATTTTTTTTTTTTATCATTTTTTAACTTTTAAATTATTAATAAGCAGTAAGATAAAAGAAGTTATTAATTTTAAAGTCACATTAACTTTTGAATGATGTTAATGTGACTTTAAAATTAATGATATAAAAATATTTGTTACAAAAGTTGGAATGACAATTATGTTAGGTATAAGGGTTATTTACTAATGAAAAAAAACTCATTTAAAATTAAAATTTTATTTTTATTTTGTTTTTATTTAATTGTAATGATTGATTTTTTCGCTTGAAAAATGCTAATACTTGAAGCTTGAAGCAAAGATCATATAAACGTAATTTAATTCTGATAAAAAATATATGATTTAATTTAAAACTAATTTAATAAAAATATATAGTTTTTTTCTGATAAAAAAATATATATAATTTAATTTAGATTTTAAAAACGTAATTTAATTTTGATTTAAAAAATATAATTGCTTATTAAAATTAAAGTTAATTGCTTGGGTTTAACTTAACTGTCAAATTTATTTAAAAATATTACTTATTATTATTTAATATTGAAATTTTATTTATTCTTAAAAAAAATTAGCTCATTTTTATCGCAATTACTTTTTTGGTTTTGCTTTCTAAACTTTTTTTTTATTTTACTCAAAATTAAATCAAAAATTTGCACAAAATTTAAACTTTTATTTTTATAACGCAAGTTAAATTGCAGCGATTATTTTTTAATAAACAATTTATACAGTGATATAATTTTAATAAATGATGTTTGGAAAAATAATCTTTGCTTTCACAACAAAATCGTTAATAAAATAAATCGTTAAAAAATAAAGTAAATAAATTAATGTAATTTTTTTTATTTGCTACTCGCTAATTTTTTTAAAATAAAAAATCATTTGTATTTGCAAAGCCACAATTCGAAATTTAGGAAATGATCATTTAAAAATTCAAAAGTTTAACATATTTTTATTCATTTATGCAAATGTTGAGAACAGAAAGAAATTTGTTAAAATCAACTCTTTTTTTAAGAATTTAAAAATATTTTTAAGCATATAAGTTATAAAAAAAAATATTTTATCATACCATAGGGTACGATAAAGGTTGTAAAAACACGTTCTGACATTTACTTACAGTCCTGTTGTAAAGTGTTAAAACAACATAAAAATGCTTGTAAAACTTAAAATAAAAGCAATGAAACTTAGCATATAATAATATCAATATGTGCTAAATACACACACCAAATGATTTATTTTTACCATGCCATTTGCTGCATCAAGTCTGGCAAAGTTGTTTTGTTTAGAAGTGGTAAAAAGTAAACATTACGACCGGCACGTAGAGGAAGTAATTAAAGACAATAGTCAAAACTAAATTAAGGAAACCGAACAAATATAAATTCTCCAACAATAATCAAAACTAAAAAACTAATAAAAAACAGCAATAATAAAAAAAAAATTAAAAGAAAAACAAAAATATATTTGATTACAAAATTGTTATGAACTAAATCTATTACAATAGATCTGATTTAGTAAACATAACAAAAAACATAATACTTCAATTAAAAAATATAAAAAATTTTTCTGCTGTTGGTTTTTTATTTGAAAATATCTTATATTAAAACGTGAAAAAAAAACTTTTCTTAATTTATGTTCTTTATCTTTTAATTTACATTTAACTTCTTTTCTTTATTGTTTTTTTGTTTTTGTCTTTCAATATTTTTATGTGTTATTCTTTTTAATATTTTTTTTTCAACTCTTCTGATTGAAGCAATTTTGTTTTTAAGAACAAACTATTTTACATAACTTTTATGTAATTTAAACACTAAAATTATTTAAGTTTATTTTTAATAAAATATAATTTTAAAACAAAATTTTTTTTTGTGTATTTTTAGTCTAATAGTCAAAAATACTTTATAAGAATGTTCAATGTTCAATGTAAAATAAAATATAAATTAAAACTAGTAATTTATAAAATTAAAACCAGTAATGATTTTTTTAACACATAAAATATGTAATCAAAATTTTTCCAAATTATTTAACGCTATTGGAGCCAGAGCTGGAGCAATAAACTTGGGAGCCAGAGTCATTAGAACAAAAAAAAATTAGAGCCGAAGCCAGAAGTTCAAATAAACATTGGGCCAGAGCTAATCATTTTATTTACTGCTCCCTACCTTAACTGGCTCACATTAAAAAGAGAAGACCTTTTGTCAAAACAGGAGTATAAAGTTGAGTCATCAGCAAATTGAGCCACTTTAGATGTAAGGTCGTCAGAAAGATAATTAATGTAGATAAATTAATGTAGATAACAAAACAGGAACAAGGATAGAAACTTGAGGTATCCCAGAAGTTACTGGAAAAAAAAAAGAAAAGTGTTGCGCCTTCAAGGATGACTTTAATAAAGCAATTCAAAATAAATGATTTGATAATCTTAAAGACTTTCCTAGGTACACCATAAGAAGCAAGCTGATGGAGAAGCCTAACATGTCAAACTTTATCTAAAGCATTAGATATTTCAAGAGCTTTGAGGTTTCAATCTAATGCATGATAAAATCACTATCACAACCAATTATCTTGCTCTATAGCAAGTCAACCATAAAGCGAGATGATAGAAAATTGTATCGATTGTCTTACAGTAAGTTATTTGACTCAAGATGGGATGTTAGAAATTTGTTGATTAAAGACTCAAAGACTTTGTTAATAGACAGATTAGACGATAGATGGAGGGTCAGAATGTTCTCCTGAGATTTTGAAAATTGGAGCAACAGATGCCATTTTCCAGCAGGTAGGAAAACAAGACTCAGTCAAGCACTTATTAAATAGTTTAGAGAGAGTTGAAGAGAGTTCTGGAGAATACTTTGATAAGACTATGACAGGAATGTTGTCAGGACCACAAATCATAAAAATGTTTAATTGAGATATGACTTAGTTATTAGAAGCTGGAGTGACTAGAATGTCTAACAATGGGTTAACCTGTTTAATTGGAATGCAAGGAGCTTAACTTCTGAGACAAGAATAAAAATTAAGTGAACTGAGAATAATGGAACCTAGCATCAGACAGCATTTTTTTTACATCAACTTTTTGCAATAATAAATAGGCATTTGTTCTCAATAGAGTTGTTATTTTGAAAAAGATGAAAAATGATTACGATTAGATATAGCAGCTGCACAAGGTGACAACCATGGAGTAGAATGAGGCTTGACTTGGAACCGACAAGAAATAATAAAAGCTTCTGTTTCTGCCTGGATCCAAGAGATTACATAGGCACATTTATCAACGGAGAGAGAAAAAACATCAACCCCATGACCATCATGAAGAAAATCATGTAAAGAATTCCAGTCAGCTTTAGGGTAATGTAAAAAGTAGTGCAATGATAGAGGAAGTCCAAAGAAGAAGTAAAAGATAAAAGATTTATAAGATCATTGTATGGTCAGGACCACACAAAAGAAAAAGGAGAAACTAAACACAAGCTAGGACCAGAGACAAGACATAAATCAAGGAGTAAAGGTAAATGAATATGGTTTTCAAGAAAACGGGCCACAAAGTTAACTATCTGAGTAAGAGATTGAAAAATGCAGAAGTTATAGGCTTTATTGTCAACAGGGTCAGTGGTGTAAGAGCCAAGCCATTCAGTAAAAACATGCAGTCTTGGGAAGAAGTAGAATAATAAAGAACAACAAGGAAGAGGTGCTAAGTGGAAGCACAAAAAATGGCTAAAGGATTTGAACCTGATTTCATGACAAATAGGTCAATTGATTCATATGTATACCCCCAAGTCAAGCATCTGACTATTGATAGATCATCCAGGTCATATTTTAAAAATCTAGAAAATTGTTTGGGTAAAAAATTCAGAAAAAATATATTTTTCTCTTAAATTAGCTTTTAGCTGAGCTGTTTCAAATTTTTTTTCCTAACTTTTTATAATTTTGTATAAGTGATGAGTAATAAAGCTTAAAAATATCTTGAATTTCGGAAATATCCGAAAAAAGATAACCCTGGACTATTAGAGTCTTTGCAAATGAAATAATAATATCCATCAATACTAATATCTGATGAAGGAACAGCTGAACTTAAATTAGTTTCACAAAGAGCAAGCAAGTCTGGTGAATTTTGTAAGAGGTAAGATTCAACTGATGGAAGGCAGGGTTGACATTAAAAAACTCACCAATTAAAAAACCTAATAAAACCTGCCTTAAAAAACCCAATAAAACCCGGGTAATCTGGGTTTTATTGGGATTTTTTTAAAGATATTTAATAAGTTAATGAACTATTATAACCAACTTTAACATTATAACTATAATATTATTAACTAAAATAATTATTAACTAAATTATTATTAACTATTTTAACCAACAATAATAGCTATCAGAGCAGGTTTACTAATATTTGAATCATTATTTGGAAATACATTATTACGATTTTAATTCAAATATTTTTATCAATTGAGATTTTATATTCTTTTATGTTATTCGCCTCCCTAGGTGAATTTAAATGAGTAGTGATCAGAGAAGGCCACCACAGTTGAGGTTACTTTATCGTGGTCACAATCCTCTATCAACTCTTTTGCTCCTAAACACGAATCTTTATAAACAAGGCCGCTTCATGGAGAAACAAGTTTGTTTGTTTTAATTTCAAGTTCAAAGTTTAATAGAAACTTCAGTTACTACCTCCCATTCTCTAGCCTTCTTTTTCCATTTCTCATTGACATTAATAATTATATAGAATAACACTTTTAAATTGAAAATAAATCCATACATTTAAAGTGAATTTTTTTTTTCTATTACAGTTTAAATTATATTTAAAAATCTTTTTCAAAATAATTTGAAAAATTCTTAAATAACAATATATAAAATATATTTTAAATAAAGTTAAAGTAGAAAATGAAACTAATATTCAATATCATTAAGCAAAAAAACAAAAAAATATTTACAGAGACAAAATAAAAATAGGGGTTTTTTAAAATAAAAATGGGTTTTTGAAATAATAAAATTATTAAATCCTAAAAAATATATTGCTGTTACAAAGCACATTAACTAAGTTGGAAATATAATTTTAAACCTTGTTTTTTAAGTTCCTTGCTATTACAAATAATAAATTAATCTTCAGATGTATTAGAAAAAAGCTATATACTTTATGTTCAAATTCCAACTTCAAGCTTAAAAATCGGAAATTATCTTACAAATAAAGTTAAAAACTATAAAAACAACAACTAAAGCATTAGTAACAGTCCATCTTTAGATAGGAAACAATTTGTTAAATACTATGGATTTCAATTATTTGTTCAAGACTCTAAAAAGAACTTTAAAAAAATTCAACATAAAGTTCACATAATAGTTTCATTTAATATAAATAGTTATACTTAAATAATTTGAATTTTCAAACTATTTTATAAGAATAATATAGTTAAATATAACTAAATGTAGGTGAACTTAATATATGTTTAAATATATCTTAATAATTCCATATCAAAAAAAAACTGACATTAAACAACAATTCATTAATAAGAGTAATATATTACCAAAGTAAAACCATCTGATACTACTGCAGGTAGTTGAAAACATAAGCTTTTCCCACTGCCTGTTGGCATAACTAAAATACAATCTTTTTTAGCTAAAGTAGCATTTATTGTTTCCAGTTGCAGAGGACGAAAGTTATTAATTTTAAAAGTACTTAGAAGACAATTAACTATTTTTTCAGACCAAGGAAAACTTTTATTAAGCCAATATATAGATGATTGTTTGTGGTCTTTATTCTGTGTTGATAAATTTATTTGTTTATGCAATGCTTCTTTTTTGATTACTAAAGCTTCTCGCTCTTTTAGTAATGCACATAAGTTTTTTTTAAGATTTTCAATATTCAAATCAATTTTAGAAATTTGATCTTGAATTGCAGCTATATTTTCAGCCATTATTAATGATCACTCGTGCTTCTTAATACACAATGCAGATTAAAATCCTTTCAAAAAAAATTTCTTTTTAAGCATAATCAACCTTTCTTACATATGATTTCAGATCTAAAAAAAAAGTATGATTTGAAGATTCAAAAAAATCGTTAAAAACAAAAAGAAATTATAAAAAACAATTTAAATGAATCATAAAACAAGGGATTGCGGATGTTTGATTTTTAACAATCAGCCTATAAACAAAAACTTGAGACAAAGTAAATTAAAAAATTATTTACTGATTTTAAAATCTCTATACCGTAAAATAACCTCCGGTCACTGTAACTGCGGTCATTTGAGGAAAAATATAAAAATAGAAGACTCAAATTTAAAAAAAAAGATTTTTCTCGGATATTTTTTTTTTTTACTTCGTAAATATGAATTTATAAAAAAAATAATAATATTGTTTATTTGCAAGCTGCTGAAATAATTCTTTATCAAAACAACAATTCAAAAAAAGGCATATTATTAAAACCAAATAATCAAGTTATCAAAATAAATGATCAAATTTAATCTTAGTATTATTAAGAATCACCAAAATTAATTATATTTACAAAAAAAATATATTAATTTTTGAATAATACGTTGTTGTTTTTTGAAAATTAGTGAAATTTTGAAATACTCTAACATCGGTCAACAAAAATAGAGACAATTAGCAGGAATGTTGTGAAAACATTGAATATCTTGATATATGACATTGTATATGAATGTAGTGTCGCAAATGTACGGTTTACCGGTAACTTTACCTCTTAATTTACCAGTAAGTTTTGACATTTTTATAATGGATTATAAAAGAATTTTTATAATATTTACTATGGTATTTTATTTGAATAAAAAATTTCAAAATTAGCTTGTTTTTAAATAAAATTTACTGGTATATTTATATCACTGATATGAACTAATTACAAAACAATAATACATATCGCAACGCACTGAAATAGTTTTTTGCGAGTTAATATATCTATGTCATCTATGGATTTGCTTGAGAAAGCTCGGATGGCTCGTGGTATAAAAGGCCATTGGTATGAGTAAGACATAGGTATGAGTGGACATAGGTATGAGTAAGACATAGGTATGAGTGGACATAGGTATGAGTAAGACATAGGTATGAGTGGACATAGGCATGAGTAAGAGGAAAGCATCTATAAAAAAGATCAACTTTTAATGACAGAAGTAACGGTAAGCATACTAAAAAAAATGGCAAACCAACTAAGTTGAGCGACAACATCAAGGACGTTTTAGTAAAAATTTTAATATTTATGTTTGATTTGGTTTTAGTTTAACTTGACTTGAAATACTGCGTGCTGTTAATAACTACTTGGTTAAGTCAAATCAAATGTGTTTTGATGGAGGTGGAGTTACACTTGCCTCGGTATTACTCATTTATTAGACGTCATTATGATAAGTTATCGCTCAAAACTTCAAATAATATGCCGTCAAACCGTGCAGTGTCGATATATAAGTATATCTTAGAGTAGACTGTTTTTTAATTAAAATTAAATTAAGTTTTTTGAAATTATTTAATCAAGGTTTGCACAAGTTTTGATATGTACAGCGTACATGAATTCGCAACGAAGGCATTGCACATTTTTAATTGCAATGAATCTGGCCTTTAATGTGATCAATGCAAGTTAAAGATAGTGTGTTAAAAAAACTCAAAAAGACCTAAGAGACTTTGCAGTAGCAACGAAAAATCTTCAGTTACAAAACTTGTGTGCTGCGATGCTTATAGGACATTTTTGCCTGTTCATGTTTTATTCCAAAGAAAAAGGAAAATAATATTTATGATGAATTTGGGTATTTGTTTTAAAAAGTATTTTTTTCAAATGTTCTCAATTTCATATCGGGGTCCTTATTTATACAACAAACTAGTAACTAAAAATAAATCAATCTGCAATCTAGATTCAATTTGCAATCAAAATTTCTTGAAAAAAAAGTTAAAAAATCTGATACTGAATCTAAACAGATACTCAGAATTCTTCTAAGACTATAAATTAAAATACATATATATCAACTACAAAGTGAACTGACTCGTTTATGTGTATTATCTAAATGAATCTTTTTTTTTTTCTCAAATTTCTCAAACAATATATCAAAATGTGTTTATTACACACGAAAAAAACACTTGATTTTTTCTTATCAAGTTTAGTTATTATGCTGCTAGTTATGTCTAATATTTTATACTGAGCTTATTTTGAGTTTATTTTTTATTATGAGCTAAATTTAAAGAATATATAAACATAGTTGTACTTAATATATAATTATATTTAACATAATCATAATAATATATCAAACACATTGTAAGGGCTTCGTGATAAGATCATTACGATCTTCTTGAAGTCCGGCCTGTACTATTTAATTATAAATTTCACTATATATATTTTGACTCACGAGACTTGTAAATATTAATTTACGAAACTTGTAAATGTTATATGTACGGCAAATATATGAATAAAAAAAAAAAAAAAAAAAAAAAAAAACAGCATAGAATCCGGAAAACTCTGCATTTTAAAAACTATTAATTTAATTATTTGAATTTTTAGATTGATGTCCAAACTCAGAACGGGCCAAACGATGCTACCAATGGTGTCACGCAATCTGGCTGAATGGAAGAATCTATTTTTGTTGGATGATTTCAAAGGACATTTGTTTCACATTGTCGCAAGCTTGAAGATTCTAAAGTCCTTTTTCTAGACGGCCATTCCTCACATTTAACGCTAAAACTAATTCACTTAGCAAAAAAGGAGGCTAATTCAAAAAAAATAACAAGCTTGTGACATTTTTTTTTTTGGAGATAAAATTGCAGCTAAACAACAATTATGTGTGCGTGCAAATCCTGTGACGATTGGTTGTGTGGACCTTGTTATTCTACTTTGGTCGACGGTACCCAGCAAACAAAAAGATATCTAAAATGCATCTAATATGCATCTAAAAACTGGTCTAAAAGATGTCTAAATTCAGGTCTAGAACGGGACATAAATAGACGTCTATCTTATAGACGTCTTTTAGATGCATTTTATTCGACACAAATAATTTGCCTTAGATGCATAAAAGATGTGAAATATACATCTTCCAGATGCATATTAGATGTATAAAATACGTCTCTTAAATAGATGCCTAAGGCGCGTTTAAAAAAGATAGATAACAGATAATTTTTTAGCTAATAATAGCTCTTTTATGCATCTAATATACATCTAATATACATCTTTAAATATATATTTCACATCTTTTATGCATCTAAGGCATTTATTTGTGTCGAATAAAATGCATCTAAAAGACATCCATAAGATAGACATCTATTTATGTCCCGTTCACGACGTGAATTTAGACGTCTTTTAGACCAGTTTTTAGATGCATATTAGATGCATTTTAGATATCTTTTTGTTTGATGCGACTTGTTTGATACAAAGGCGTTAAATTAGTCATAAAAAAGGATTAAATTAAATAAGTAAAGAAACATTTTAACTAACATTACTTAATTTTTATTTCACAAAAATATACATAAGAAACTATATTTCTTCATTGCCGTCAACATTTTCTTCCACGTCGCCGATATCTAAAATATATACATTAATGACATTTAAATGACTTTAAAAGACATGTTGAATTCTGAATCTATTTTTATGAAATATTATATATATATATATATATATATATATATATATATATATATATATATATATATATATATATATATATATATATATATATATATATATATATATATATATATATATATATATATATATATATATATATATATACATACAGTATCGGACAAAACCAGTGCAACCAAATGATGCTAATTTAGTTTCTTTGTATAAAAGTGCTGCATTTTTTCAATTTAGAGAAATAACTATGTTACTGTTTAGAGACAACGTTCTTCAAATTTTATTCATCACAAAGTTCATTATTTGTACACAAAAATTAATAAATGAATCAAAAATATTATAAAAAGTTGATTTCCTTCTGGACAAAACAAGTGCAACTCCACAAAATGTTGACCAAGCTGTATTTTGCTATTAATATTTTGTGGTGAACCCTTAGTTGTGGATCACAGCCTTGCATCTTTAAGGCATAGATTCGATCAGGTGATCAATGAAACTTTGTGGAATCACTGCCTAGGCCTTTTGGATTTGTTCAAACAGTTCATCCTTATTACGAACACATTCATGATTAACTCTGCAGTTAACAATCTCCCACAGGTTCTCAATTGGGTTGAGATCCGGAGATTGAGGCGGCCAATCCATCACCAATAGATGGTTGTCTTGAAACCACTGCTTGACTACTTTTGCAGTGTGTTTGGGATCGTTGTCTTGCTGAAAAACCCATTTTATTGGTATATTCCATTCGGCATGAGGTAACATAACATCTTTCAGGATATTTTTATACATGAAACGGTCCATTATTCCATCGATTCGATGTATTAGACCTAGACCGTTAGCAGAAAAGCACCCCCAGACCATTACATTGCCTTCATCATGCTTCACGGTCTTATGGCAGTAACGTAAATCAAGGCATTTTCCGGCTGCTTGACGTACAGACAGCTCTAATTGCTTTTGTATCTCAACTGATGATATCCAGGGATCCTTCTTGACAGATCTGACGATAATAGATTTCTCTCTAGAAGTGGTGGAACGAGGTCTTCCACCATTGTTATCTGCTGCCAACTTCCCTGTGGAACAACATTTGGAACATAGTCTTGATACAATCTATTTTTTCACGCGATATTTATCACAAATACTTTTTTGTGACATTCCACTTAAGTAATCCCAAATAATTTTCTCTCTTAGTTCCAATCCAAGACTGTCGGGAACCATTTTTGCACTTGAAGTCATAAAAATAATAAAAATAAATAACCACACTTCTCAAGGCTTACCGTGTTACATTTACCTTGTGATGATAAAATATGGCTCTGTGGAACATAACGTCTTGGTTGGATGTGGACTGTATTGATGTAATAAAACACTTGTTGTATTTCACTTCTGGTATTGATGTTCTTCGAAAAAACACTTTGATAAAACTCACTTCGATAAACTGTCTTGATAATACTGACTGATTGACTTCCATATACTGACTGAATTACATGTCTCTTTTATAGTAAAATAAACCTGTGTGAACCTGTTCCGGAAGATTCTAGATGCTTCTTGTCAATACTTCTGGAAGCTTCTGGATGCGTCTGAATGCTTCTGAATGTTTCTGGATACTTCTGGATGCTTCCAGATGCTTCCTGATGCTTCTTCTGGAAACTTCTGGAAGCTTGTGCATGCTTCTGGAAACTTCTGGATACTTTCTTTAATTATTAAAAAACTTTCGTGACGTTGACACGGACCAGACTTGAGAAAATGAAACAAACCAAAGTTGCACTTGTTTTGTATACTGCAAAATGGCACTTGTCAACGAAATTCTGCCTGTGTGCTGTCACTTGTCAGCTGATTGCTCATATCATGGCATGCTATGACTCCAGACTCCTGAACTGTTTGCTGTGGTAGTATAGTTCGTTTCATTTTTAAGACATAAAATTAGGAACACTTTTTAGCATTGTTCGATGTTGGTTGCAAATGTTTTGTCCAATACTGTATATACACATATATACATGTATATATATATATATATATATATATATATATATATATATATATATATATATATATATATATATATATATAAACAAGAAGATTTGTATCTCAACCAGATACAATAAACATAAACTTTTATATGAAAAAACTAAAGGAACTTGTATTATGGATACAAAAATTCTAGCATGACACAAAAAAGTTGAAGAATATCTTTTTAATACAGATATCAGTTTTGTAAATACTATTAAAACTATACCTCGTATAACACTCCATATATTTACTAGATTTTCTATGCTTATCTTTTCCCCATTTCCTTTTCGATTAAATTTGGACTGTAACTGATTCGAAAATAACCTGATAAATATTTTAACAATAAAACTGAAATATATTTAAAAAGATTTTTACTTTAATATAGGTAATAAATTAAAATATATTTCAATATATGAATGCTTAAAATTATGAAAAGTAAAAGCATTAAATTTAAAAATAAAATGCTAAACAAGGTTTAGCATTACACTTACTTTAGCACACAAACAAACTTAAACACCTACAGTGAAGCTCCTGAGTTTATCAAATTGTCATGTTAAAAGTAAATCCATAACAAATAACGGTTAAAATGAATTGCTTTTGGTCCCTTTTAATCATATTTCTAACAATTAATAAAAACATAATCATTTACCTTTTCATGATCAAAAAAACATGTTCTCTTGGCTTTCCACCACCAATCTTTTTTAAACTATCTAGCTGAAATAAATGTAATAAAAACTAGTGTAACTTAAATTTCTTTACAACATATTGAGTCTAACACAAGCTAGTTATTTTATTTCATTTACAAATACTTTTCATTTAGATTCTAAACTAGTAACCAAATTTAAATAAACTTATTAAAAATTAAGATAATTAAATTATACCAAATAAGTATACTCGGTTTTATCTTTTAGTTTATTATCCAGTGTAACCACTTCGTCCACTGATTCTAGCAACTTCACCCCAGTAGCCTGAAACTTAATTTCTATAACTTCTTTTAAAAGAACTTTTATTTCTGCAAGCTTGTTGAGAATAACATTTTGCATCTCTACAAACAAGAATAAAAAGATTGATTAACATATTTAGCTCATAAAACCAAATAGCAAAACAATGAAATAAGAATGTTAAAATTCAAATTATGCTTGAGTAACTCAAACTAAAATTCCAAAAATACATGTAAGTTTTTTTTATTACTCCATCGCAGAAGTTGCCATAATATTTTGGAAAACCTACTTTTTAAATTAGCTAAAACTTTATACTGTAAAAAGTTACGATATTAAAGAATTTTGTTTAACTACTAAAGGTAAAATGCTACACACATGATTTATCGGATCACAATATTATAAATAATCCATTTCTATTCTTTTATACCTATCTTTTACAATTATTTTAATACAAAAACAAATTAATAAAAAAGACCTCCACATTAACATTCAGTGGTGTAAAAACCAAAAATACTCATATTAAAACTTGAAACTCTTTGACAATGTAAACTTTGTTTTGTTTTATTCTGTTCATCAATAAAATGTGAAGAAAAATTATCTTCTTCAATCTTTGAATCTGATAACAACTCTATTCAAAAGAAATAATTATAATTAGAACTATAAATAATCTCTCAACCATACCTGTTACTTAATTTAATTTTTCAACCAATTTTGTACTTTCAATTTCTGAATTTAAACAATTTCAGCATGCTTTCAATCAATTTTCAATTTTCATATCAAGTTGATTAAAGGATTATTTAATACAATAGAATGGTGTCAATCATATAAATATATGTAACCAATTTAACAACATTACATATAATAGGACACCCAAATAGTTAAAATAAAAGGAAAATCTCAGTAATACATAAAAAAGACTAATAGCAAGATAGATATTATTCAGATCAAATTAAACAAGAATCTATTTCAGTTTATAAACCATTAAGAAAAAAATATGATATTTGTGTTATACTTTTATCATTGGGCTTATTCATAATAGGTGGCAGAGGTTCTGGCAATGAAGAGCAGTATGATTTGCTATTTTTATTTTTAATGCTTTCTTTAACATATATCTTATCTGATGTAGAAAGTTGTATTCTTTACAACATGAAAATGAATCTAATTATAAAATATTTTGCTACAAAAAAGTAATTAAGTTACCTTTAAAAAAAACATAAAACAAGTTAGATACTGACTATCTGTTATCTTATACTTTATCAATTGAAATTTGTGCCATTCTTTTGTTGACGAAAGGTTGTTTTTCAGTGCATGATTATAGTTTTTTTTTGGGACAATAAATTTGTTGCTATTCTGTTATTACAATAAATTTGTTGCTATTCTTATTTGTCAATCCACTTGTTTAGTGCATAATTACTAGGTAGGTTAGCGTTCTTGGTTAGCGTTCTTTAGGATGATCCAAAATAAGGTTTTGAATTTTCAACCTAGAACGGAATGAGTTGGTATTACGCATGCGTTCAAATTATAAACCTTATTCTGGATCATCCACGCTGAATTTGTTATTAAAGAAGCTTCGCTTATGAAATTATTATTATACAAACTTTGACAAATTGAAGTAGAATAATAAAGTTATACAATTATTAAAAGAAATATGCTGTGCAATTGAATTCTCTAAATCGAGTTGTTGTAAAAATGTTTGGTTGTTTATTTGGTATTTACTTATGGTATTTATGTTAATATGGTAATTATTACTATTGTTATTATGGTACTATAGCAATTAGTTTGGTGAATGTTTAAATAGGGATCGAATTACCAAATCACCAAGTCATTATATTAGTAGAGATATATAAAGATTAAAACATATATATATATAAATATATATATATATATATATATATATATATATATATATATATATATATATATATATAATATTATATTGTATGATATTTTGTATTTGCAATAAAATACAAAAAAACTCTTGAACGTATAAGAGTGCTCAATAATAAATAAATAGGATTTATTTATATTATTTAATAGAGCATTATATTAATTTATAAAAATAAAGAAAACAACTTTTTTTGGTACTAATAGTTTCATGCCTAAAGGCAATCATCAGCCATGTAATACAAAACAAGAAACAAAAAAAACCGTTAAAATATAAAGTTACAGTGGAATGTGCTCCGTCGTCAAAACAAAACAAAAACAAAAACCTAAAAACGGCTGCCTAATCACCCGTATCGAAATTCGAAAGGAGGAACTTGCTTTTATGTCTACATTTAGATACTAATTCATTCCTCTTATTTAATAAGTTATCATAGGTGTACGATATTATGAAATACTTTTCGTATAGACATAAGTTGCATCGTTTTATTGTGGGATTGTAAGATCTACAACGTTTTAAAATTTTCCATTTAATTGTCGGGTTTACTCCATTTTCCTTTAACTTCCATACTTCCTTAGACAACTCAGTATCGTTTTTATATTTTTCGATCTTAAAAGATTTTGTATGATTAGCGTATCTAAGTTTAAAAGCAGTTTCACTTACTCCAAAATACACTTTTTCAATCCCGTCTGGAGTGCCTGGATATAGAGTGGCTTGATACACTATGTTATTAACGAGACACTGTTGATTTAAAGGGCACTTGCTTTTAGTAATACAATTGCAACTTTTATCTGATTCTGGGGGGATGCTTTTCATAATATGACGGTTATGAAAGTTAACGATTGATTTGATGTTTGGCATACAACTGTAACTCACCTTTAGAGTATTTCTATTAAAAATCTTGTGGTATTTATGTCCAACTGGAAAGTGCTTGTCAATTAAATCCAAAAAGATTTTACCAATTTTAGTAGAAACATTTTTACTATATGGGGGGTTAAACCAGATAATATTGCGCTTACGGTTTTTTGGTAGAGGTTGAATGAGTTTCGGAATATAATTAAGTTTAAATTTGTAACCAGACTTTTTTAATGCATCCTGATACAAATGAGCAGAGCTTCGAAAGCTAGTGTCATTAGATGAATTAGCTGACAACCTTAATTCTATAGAACGAGGAAGTTGCTTTATTATGCTAGGAGGGTGATTGGAATCAACATGTATATAATTTAGTTCATTGATTGGTTTACAAAATGGTCTAAAAGATTGATCATTGAGATTAAGTGTTACATCAAGGAAGTTCACAACTTTCATGTTACATTGTATGGAGATAGAAAGATTGTTATTTTTAAAAATTTGAATAATATGTTTTTTTATCGTGTCCATAAGGTGGCCACTAGCATTTTTAAAAACCGCTAAACCATCATCTCGGTATAAGCCAAAATCTGTCTTGTTATAATGCTGTGATAGCTGAAAAAGAAGAAAAACTCCGACAAGCTCACATACTTCTGCGCCGTCAAAAGCACCCATTGCAACATCAAACAAACCACTGTTCTTTTTAATCCAAGGTTGCTCATTATCAAACAACAACGATTTTCGAGCTTGTTTAATTATAAGTTTGTCTTCGTTTTTAATGGTTACAAAATTCTCAGCAAATTTAATGGCATCATTCAAAAGACTTTCATTGATAGAAGGATAAAAATCAACAATGTCAAAAATTAAAAATTTATAAAAATGCTTGTTTTTAATACCTTTGAACCAATCTAAAACGTTTTGCGTGCTTTTCCATTGATTAAGAGAGAGAGTATTTTTCAGCTCAGCAATAACGTTGGATAAAATAAATTTACTGATCCTTCCAATTTCATTTTTTGCTGGATTCAAAAGGCGGACTGTAGGTTTGTTTAAAAAATTGTCTTTATGATCTTTTAAAGTGATAAAGCAGTTAGATGGTGTATTAATTTCAATTCTGCTAAAAATCTCATGATTTTTTAACAAAACTTTCCCCTCCATATTTAACTGACTATTTATTTGCGAGTCTGTTTTTTCATAGGATGTAGTGATAGAGTTGATAAGCAGTTTGTTGTATTGGTCTTTAGATAACTGATATAAATTCGATGTTTTATCGGCTTGTGTAAATGCTTTGTCCGACTTACATATTCTTTTGACATCGTTACTTAGCTTGTGCTGAAAAGCGCTTTTTATTTTACGAAATTTTAAATATTTAATAAGATTTAGTAGATCATTTTCAAAAGCAATCAAATCTTTAACTTGCTGTGGAAATTTATTCGTGCTGATGCCGTAGGTTGAAGGAATAAAATCATTGTTATTGTTCTGCAGATTTGTATTGTTGAAGAAAATTGCTTTCCATCTCATCCTTTTTATAAGCTCTTCCGTTTTTTCTAATAACTTTAATTTATAGGTTTTTTCCGATGGTATAGGAATATTCTTGATAGAGTAATTAAAATTTACTTTCTCCTCGTTCTATAGAATTCTATAGAACTTCCTCGTTCTATAGAACTTCCTCGTTCTATAGAATTAAGGTTGTCAGCTAATTCATCTAATGACACTAGCTTTCGAAGCTCTGCTCATTTGTATCAGGATGCATTAAAAAAGTCTGGTTACAAATTTAAACTTAATTATATTCCGAAACTCATTCAACCTCTACCAAAAAACCGTAAGCGCAATATTATCTGGTTTAACCCCCCATATAGTAAAAATGTTTCTACTAAAATTGGTAAAATCTTTTTGGATTTAATTGACAAGCACTTTCCAGTTGGACATAAATACCACAAGATTTTTAATAGAAATACTCTAAAGGTGAGTTACAGTTGTATGCCAAACATCAAATCAATCGTTAACTTTCATAACCGTCATATTATGAAAAGCATCCCCCCAGAATCAGATAAAAGTTGCAATTGTATTACTAAAAGCAAGTGCCCTTTAAATCAACAGTGTCTCGTTAATAACATAGTGTATCAAGCCACTCTATATCCAGGCACTCCAGACGGGATTGAAAAAGTGTATTTTGGAGTAAGTGAAACTGCTTTTAAACTTAGATACGCTAATCATACAAAATCTTTTAAGATCGAAAAATATAAAAACGATACTGAGTTGTCTAAGGAAGTATGGAAGTTAAAGGAAAATGGAGTAAACCCGACAATTAAATGGAAAATTTTAAAACGTTGTAGATCTTACAATCCCACAATAAAACGATGCAACTTATGTCTATACGAAAAGTATTTCATAATATCGTACACCTATGATAACTTATTAAATAAGAGGAATGAATTAGTATCTAAATGTAGACATAAAAGCAAGTTCCTCCTTTCGAATTTCGATACGGGTGATTAGGCAGCCGTTTTTAGGTTTTTGTTTTTGTTTTGTTTTGACGACGGAGCACATTCCACTGTAACTTTATATTTTAACGGTTTTTTTTGTTTCTTGTTTTGTATTACATGGCTGATGATTGCCTTTAGGCATGAAACTATTAGTACCAAAAAAAGTTGTTTTCTTTATTTTTATAAATTAATATATATATATATATATATATATATATATATATATATATATATATATATATATATATATATATATATATATATATATATATATATATATATATATATATATATATATATATAAATTATATAATATTATATATGATATTATATATGATATTATATATGATATTATATATATACATATATATATATATATATATATATATATATATATATATATATATATATATATATATTTATATATATATTTTGCTATTGTTTTGCAGTGGAAGCTATTAAAGTTAGTCTTAAGAGAAGGAAGAAATATTTTATATAAGTGCAAGGGAGTGCTAGATATGTTATAATATTTAGACAGATGTCCAGTATTGAGAAGTACTGTATGAAAGGGGAGTTTTATTTAATGATTAAGCGTTGTTTCAATGTTATGTAAGTTGTGTTAGTTAATATGTTTTGTGTTTGTAGTGTTCTAAATGTTAAAGTTTTATATGTTATTTTATGTCTTTATTAGTATGAATCTGCATGTTTGTAAATACTTTTTGTTTTGAATGTGATGCATCTTAGTAAAACTGCACTGAGCAGTGAACGCTTTAGAGATGCATAACAAGTTAAAAGTGTGTAGCAGATTGACATAAAAGTACACAAGGACTGATGTCCGTTGAAATAAAGTGCCTCTAAGAAGAGAAATAATGAAAATTAATCATAGTTATATGTCGTTAATATAAACAGGTATATCAAACCATAGCCAAGGAAACTACATATAATTAATTATTTTAATAATGAAAGGTTATAGTAGAGTTACTGTAGAGAAAAATGTGATGCATAAAGTGTCAGCCGTGGAGCATGGATACCATTTGTTTTATGTTATTAGCAAAGTAAACAAACATTATTAATGCGCATCATTGATGCCTCATGGTATGAATTCTGTGATCTGATGTGGTTTATGGTCTGGTTCAAAATGGTAATATTGATATGTTTAGATAAAGTTTGTGTTGTGTTTAATTTCCATTTAGTTAATATGTTTTAATGTGGTTCTTTGTTTTATATTTATTGTAAAGCCGTGAACCTTAGTCATATGCGGACAAATAGGAACAATGTTTTTATATATTTATATACATACGTGGCGATATTAAAATGTGTAATAAAGATGGCTAACTTATAAGAATATATATATTTAAATATAGTACAGTGTTTTATTAACGACACCACAATGGCGCTACGAGTAGGATCCAATTTGACTTTAGATTATTCAGACAATGCAGAAGCATGGATTAGATGCTTTTCAGCATCCGCACGTTCAAAGAAATTAAAAGATGAGATAAATGGTAGCTATGAGATAACAGATTTATTTATGGCAAAAGCAGGCATTGAAGCAATTACAAAGATTTCCCTTATGGTATATCCAGAAGAACTAGAAAACATGATGTTCGATGATATTAAAACTGTTGTTATGTCCCATTTGAGGCCTCAAAAGCGACTAATTATTGCTGAAAGAGTTCAATTTTTAGCATTAAAACAGCAAAACATTGAAAACATTGTATCATATGCACAAAGATTACGCGGAGCTTCACGCTTTTGCAACTTCGAAAAATTGGGAAGAGACGGCCAAAGCACGAAAGATGATTTGATTCAAATGAGATTGATTGATGGCCTCCAATCTTCTGATCAGAGAGTTAAAGCTCTAGAAATGATACAGAGTGGAGAATCGCCTAAACTAGGAGCATGTATTAATTTTATCAGGCAATTGGAGCAAATATCCTGTTTTAGTATACAAAACAACATTAAAAACAGCATAGACCTTCCTTCAGTTAATTACATTGATAAAAATAAAGAAAGAACGATTAAATGCAAGTATTGTGGCCTTCAACACCCACCTAGGAAATGCCCAGCATTTGGGAAGAGTTGTAAAAAATGTGGGAAGCTGAACCACTTTAAAAACGTATGCACAGCAAACATTAAATATGAAAAAATAGTAGAGGAAGTAGAGAACGATGATGCTAGTGTGTATTCCATTAACATGAATGATACAAACTCAGAGATTAGTGTAAAAATTAATGACTACAATATAAAAATGCAAGTTGACACCGGAAGTCAAGTCACAATTATTCCAAAGAATTTTTGGGAACTAATGTCTAAACTGAAATTACAAAAATGCTACCTTCGCCTGAAACAGTTTGATGGTACAGTTATGAAAGTCCTAGGTGAATTTGAGGCAACTTTGAAAACCAAATCAAAAATGAATATCGTACGAATTATTGTTGTAGACTGTACAAAAAATCATGGTCTAATTGGTATGGATGTATTAAATATCAACGCCACAAAATTAGTTAATAGTATGGAACCTATTGTTCAGGGGCGTTTAATTAATTACAAAGCAAATATTCTGTTAAAAAAACGGCACGCAACCCACTTATTTTGAATCTCGACCTCTTCCTATTCACATAAGACCACTAGTGGTAGATAAACTTAATGGAATAATACAGCAAGGGTTGCTTCAAAGGGTTCCTCCTGGTGGAAGCAGATGGGCTTCACCGCTTGTGGTTGTTAGAAAAACAGACGAAGATTTACGCATTTGTGGGGATTACAAAATAGGTGTTAACCAAAAAATATGCTCAGACTCATATCCTATCCCAAACATTGAGACCGTATTTTATAAAATGGCAGGGATGAAATATTTTGCTAAAATTGATCTCAAGGGAGCTTATCATCAAATTGAGATGGACAAAGAGGCACAAGAAATACCCCTAGAGACAGTTAATACCCCTATTGGATTATTAAGATGGACTTGTTTACCTTTCGGAATAAAGACTGCAAGTGTGATATTTCAAAGAGCGATTGAATCTGTTGTTAGCGATATTATTCCCAATATGATTATATTTCAAGATGATACATGTGTCAGTGCTAAAAATGCTGAAGAACTCAAATCGAGTTTGAATAAAATATTGAGCAAATTGAAGGAATCGGGAATGAGCATAAATAAACAAAAGTCAGTGAATGAAACATAAAGCCTTTCATTTTTAGGATAAGAACTGTCAGAAAAGGGAGTTACCCCAGATCGTAATTTAGTCAGCAAAATACTCTGAATAAATCCTCCTAATAATAAAAAAGAACTCGAGTCACTTATAGGATTAATAAACTTTTATGGTCGACACATTGATAAATATGCTGAAAAATTTTTACCTTTAAACAATTTAAGAAAGAAAGAAGTTATTTGAATGGAGGAAAGAGCATCAACAGGCATTTGAATTGCTAAAAAGAAACCTTTGTGAAGAACCCGTAGTAAAAGTTTATGACATCAACCAAGATCTAGAGTTAACAACAGATGCTAGTGAGAAAGCTATATCTGGAATACTTTCACAGAATGGCCATCCGGTATTGTATCTCTCACGAACTTTATCAGACGCTGAGACAAGATATTCTAATATTGAGAGAGAAGCGTTAGCTATTGTATGGTCTGCTCACAGAGCTAAGCATTTTTTGTTGGGTAGAAAATTCAAATTAATATCAGATCACAGGCCATTTGAATTTATATTTGATAGTAACAAAGAATTGCCCAAAGTCACATCCGCTAGAATTTAAGATGGGCCATACAAATGATGGCATTTGACTACGAAATAAGCTACAAAAAGGGAGAAAACATTCCTCATGCTGACGCAATATCGTGACGCAATATCAATATGTCCTTTCTACCACAAGATGAAGAGAAGGACCAAGAAACATTCATACACTTAGTCGAGTCAGATATTGTGAACCATGAGCAAATAATAAAAGAAACAGAAAATGATAGGGTATTGATGGATATCAAAACCAGAATTAGCAAAAATAATTGGAGCAGATGCTCGGTAACAGAAAGACCCTATAAATCTATTAGGAATAAACTGACTATCGAGAAAGCAATTGTATGTAATGGTGATCTTATTGTACCTCCTAAGACAATGAGAAAGATCTTCATCAAATCGATTCATGATAATATACATTGTGGCATAATGCAAACGCGATGTAGGTTAAAATTGGAAGCCTGGTGGCCTGGCTACTGTCAAGATGTTGAAGAATATGTGAAAAACTGTGAAAAATGTGCCGAAATAAAAGTGAAGAAGGAAAGGACATTACATACATGGCCAAGTGAAAATAAACCTTGGTGTAGAGTACATATGGATCATGCCCATGTACAGGGTATCGGACTGTTTTTGATTTTAGTAGATTCTTTTTCTGGATGGCCGGAAGTTATTAAGGTAAATAACCGTGAAGCGGCCACTGTAAAGGCAGTACTACAAAGTGTTTTTTCAAGAAATAGAGTTCCAGAGGTTTTAGTATCCGACAATGCTGCGGAATTTCATGATACCACCTTACACCAGTGGCTAAAGAAAATCAGTTGCGTGCCTTATAAGACTCCACCTTACCACCCTCAATCTAACGGAGCAGCTGAAAGAATGGTAGAGACAGTCAAGATGGGTTTAAGAGCTTATTCACCGGACAAAGGTTTATTATGCGGATATTTAAGCAGAAGGCTTTTAAGTTACAGAACAATACCTCATGCAGGAAGATCAAGGAGTCCTTCCGAGATGATGGGAAGGCAGTTGAGATCCCCTCTCACCATGAGTTTCGAAAGTGGAACACCGTTATGGTACCGCCAAATACCAGATTCCAAACCTGAACCTGCTTCATTCATCTCTCAGGCAGGTCTAAACACTGCGATCATATTAAGGAATAATTCTTCGGGTACGTTAGCACACTGTGACCAAATAAACAAACGCCTAAATGAGCCTAGTATACTTATGGATAATGAAGACAGTATGCGGTATGATCATATCAATAATGAGAAAATCGATCCTTGCAATAGTGATAAATCTGATATGCCCGAACTACGTGTTACTAAAGGAGAGCCTAATCAGGATCGAAGAAGTACACGGTCGACAAGGGGGCAAAAGCCAATACGTTTCAGGGATGTGAAGCCGTGAACCTTAGTCACATGCGGACAAATAGAAACAATGTTTTTATATATATATATACATACGTGGCGATATTAAAATGTATAATAAAGATGGCTTACTTATAAGAATATATATATTTAAATATAGTACAGTATTTTATTAACGACACAACATTTATATTAAGACTAACTTTTGTGTATTTAAATTCAAATGTATAGTGTAATTTTAAACTTAGTATATATAATATTTCTACTTATTTATAAGGTCTATTTGTCATACTAGTTTTATATTCAGTTTATACGCTAATTAATATATACATTTTAGTATAGTTTTTCTTTTAGTATTTAGTTTAAAATAATGTGGTATACTATAAGTATTCCTTTTATATTAAATTTATTTTAATCTTGTACGGTTTAGTGATGGGATTGTTTAAATTTAATTAATATGGTTTAATGGAAATAATAATCGTTTTAAAGTTAATTTACTTTAAATGGTCAAATGAAAATATTTGTTTTATATGTTTATGTTATATATTATATTTATATGTTTATTTTTTATTTGGTTTTAATTACATTGAACAGTTCAGTCCGATGCATTTTGTCTGAAAATAGTTTCTATAATTTGAATGCTTAAGACCCATAGCAGGCCTTGTTTTAAATAAAAAAATGCTTAATGCATAGCTTAACGCGATATTTGCCAATATAAAATTCTGTTAATTTTTTTAGACATTTTTTTTAAATTACTGCAATAATTTTAATTACCTCAAAACAAATTAAATGTTATTTATCGGCTCTTTTTTTAATACTTTAATGGAATGCTTATTTTTTTAATTATTTTCAACAGTTAAATTTAATATTGCATTTTTAAAAAAGTTTGATATTACCAAATTTCTTTTTTTCTCAACATTTGCATAAATGAATCGTTAAATTTAATATGTTAAATTTTTGAGTTTATAAAATGATTATTTCTTAAATTTCTAATTGCGGCTTAGCAACTACAAATGATTTTCTTTTAAAAAATTTATTCAATTTATTTTTTATTGCATACGTTATAAAAAAAATATTTAGTAACATTTTTAAATAGGTTAGGCAGTTAAGTTAAATCCAAGCCATTAACTTTAAATTTTAATAAACTTACAAATATTTTTTAAATCAAAATTAAGTTATATTTTTTTTAAAGCTAAATTAAATTATATATGATTTTTTTATCAGAATAAAGTTATATATTTTTATTAAATTAGTTTTAAATTAAGTCATGTAAAAGTTGTCATTCAAACTTTTGTAACAAATATTTTTACATAAATTTTATTCAAAAGTTAATGTTTTTTTTTTTTAATTAATTCTTTTATCTTACCACTTATACTATAATTTATTAGTTAAAAATTGATAAAAAGTTGCTTAATTGAAATGGCTTACTGCTTATGTAAAAATCGCTTAAATTGCTTTACGCTAAATGCTTTAAAACAAGGCCATCCTACAAAATACATATTTTCATTCTCCAAGCTTTTGTGAATCAAGCATTTTGTGCGATGAAAACTTCTTAAAATTGTCTAGTGAGACCTCCGTTTTGTCTAATCAAGGAAAGAAAATGTGAGTAACCCTCTGTTGTGTAGTTTCTTCTGCTAGTTTTGTTACATGAACATCACCTCATCTTCGGACATTTGCAGCCTAAAATCTTAGGAAGCAGAATATTATTTCCTATAATATTTGAAACTGATGATAGTTTTGCAACTATAACAAACTATTCCCACAGAAGTGACACTTGCAGATTCTTATTTAATGACCCGTCCACTGAGACAGAGCGGATAGCTTTAAGTGCGAGACTATATTATCAAAATAAATGCAATACCATTCCTGAAGTGTAATAAAGACTATCCTAAAACCGCAAAAACGTTATTTCTTAAACGAATTTTGACAGGGTAGTAAGAAATGGTGAACAAGTAAGAGAAGATGGCTTATATACTCTCCAGAAACTGATTCAGTTTATTGTCTTCCTTGTCATCAGTTTGACCCAACTCTAAAATCATATTTTGGGAAAATAGGTTTCAACAACTAGAAAAAGTTTAAAGAGCAAGCTTAAAAAAGACATCTCCATCTCTTTACAGTTAAGGAATGGACTGAAGCAACAATCAGGATAAAATGATCAAGCTACCAATCAAGGTCTTATGCAACAATTTTGCATTTCATGGAAGCTCATTAAAGCTGTACACCAAAAATAATGGGAACTTCCTTGGTCTTATCCAATTACTCGTTAAATTTTGATCCAATTTTGATGGAATATTTATGTTGAATTGATGATGGAGAAAGATATTCTAATATGGTTGCAATTCGAAAAAGTGTAATACCCACAAGCCTTCACCCTGTGGTTGCCACTGCTTGAACATAGCTATATCAGAACAAGCTAAATCATTAATGAAGTCTGTATTGCTGTTTGGAGTTGTTCAAAGAACCTATAAAGTTTTTATCCATCAATCAAGCGCTGGATCTCAAGCACAATAGAACCTTACAAAAATGCAGTTTTCTTACCCCAGTTTTTCGTACCCCAGTCTTACAGTTTTCTTAATTGGCACAATTAAATCATCTTTAAAAGGCAGAATGGACAAGTTTTCCAAATAAGAGTCAAAGTGGGAATTCTTATTTGACCTGAAAAAAACAAAGAAAAAACCTAATGAGAATTATAAAATAAAAATTTTAGAAGAAAATCTGACAGTGACAAATATTTCAGATATAAATGAGGAAGAAGTGTACAAATAAAATTCTACATGGCAGTTTGATAGCTACTGTTTTTGACAAATAGTGTGAGCAGAAGGCGGTCAGCAAAACACTATTACCATTAGAAGTATCAATATAATCAAAAACACCAACAGAAAAGACCTTCCTAATATGTGGATTGTAGATATGGATGGCACAAGTCATGTTGCTAACAATTTTAATGACAGTGGCCAGCAGTGAATGTAGTAAGTTGAAGTTAATTAAAACCTACCTACATACAACAATGACACAAAAAAGATTGTTTGCTTGAATATATATATATTTATCTTTATGATAGATTTGTAGGTGGTGTAAGTATTAAAGTATTCATGACAGCACAAAAAGTTTATATATGCGACTATTACTGGAGGGAGATGGCGCCGTAATAACATTAGCCCCGGGTGCCACCAACCCTAGGGATGGCCCTGGTTGTATATAAAAGAAAAACATGAAGATGGCTAATAGTTATAAGGTTTTTTTGATGTGCAAGGAAAAAACTGGATTAATAAGAGTTTTTATAGCATGAAGGGACAAATACAGTAAAAGGATGCAACTAGTTAAATAAGAAACAAGCAAGAATGAGTTTTGGTTTACTGTAATAGAGATGATAGCTTGTTTGAGCTTCGACCATAATTGTATTAGTAGAAAAAAGAAAGAAATACAACCTTACAACGGTGGCTTAAGTGGCAGATAAAGCAGGTCTAATTTATTTTTATTTTTTTTATGTTAATTTGCCTACCCAAGGCTGAAAACGCCACTACAGACGAGGAGGCTACTTAATTGTGGTTATAACCCTCTCTCAAATTTATAACTCCGAAACACGAACCTTGACAACCAAGGCTGATGTGATAAGAATAAGAGGGTTGTTATTCATCAATATAGGAATACCAACATTTTTGAGTTTAGTTGTCAAACAAAAATTGCAGATTTTAGGTCCAGAATTTAAATCCATAAGCAACAGCAAGCCTTAAGTTGTTACAGAAGAGAGATTAGATTAAAAATTAGCTGCTTGTTTTAAGCAATCAAAAAGTGAAGATTTTTTGTCAAAACAAGAGTATAAAGTTGAGTTGTCAACAAATAGAGCAACTTTAGATGTTAAATTTTCATGAAGATTGATAAGAAACAATACAGGAGCAAAGATTTAAGGGTACTACAAGATACTTTGTGATATCCTTCGAGTTACTTGAAATAAAAAAGAGTGTAGGTCTTTAAGAATAACTTTATTAATGCATTTAGTAAGAAATAATTTAATAATCTCAAAACCTTTATATAAAGAAATTAATAACAGAGTGAAGAGTAATCGTAGGATAGTTAGAAAGGTCAAAGTGTTTTAAAATTTTGGTACCGCTTATTTAGCACTTTGTAAAAATTGAATATTATTAAATATTATATAATTAATAAGTTTAAATGTTAGACTTACTTTAGTTAATGAAGACTAACCAAAAGTCTCTAAAACCTAACATCTGATAAAAGATACAAGATTTAGTTAACTGAGAATAACATATCTTAATATTAGATGGGACCTTTTTACATTGGCTACTTGGAATAATAAAAGTACATTTGTTCTTAAGAGAGATGTTTTTGTAAAAAAGATACAATAATTGATCAATAAAGCAACTGCTCAAGATGGTGAAAAGTATGGAATAGAATGAAGTTTGACTTAAAATTGAAATTATATTATGGACATAAACATATATGTTTGATATTTATTTAGATGCTGGCATCAATATCCTTTAATATTTATATAAACTTTATTTATATGGTGTAGTATTTGCAGAAAGAAAAGATGATGATGATCATCATCATCATAATTATAATTACCATAATGTTTATATATACATATACAAAATATAACATGAATTTTGAAGAAGAAAAATATACTTTAGGATGTATAAATGTTTATGCAGCCTCGGTCAAAAACCCCGACCCGGCTATATCTTATTAAACCTAAATAATCAAGAGGCTTGTGTTTTTTTCCCCATGTAACACTTAATTATTAATTTGTTTTTATGGGAAATTTTTTAAAAGATTTGTTTTTATTTTTCTATTAAGTTGATCGTTTCATCAGTCTTGAAAAAATCTTTTTATTTTTTCCTATCATAAAGTAAAAATATTTGTATTTGGAAAAGGGTTGTCCATAAAGTATGTATGCTTGTATTTTGACCCTTTCTCTTCCCTTCCCCCTCCCCCCTCACATTTTGCTGCACGATTTTTTGAGTGCCCTACCCAACATTTTATTATGTTTTTCTTTATTTAGTGTCTCCTTACTTTTATAAT